GGCTGATTCAAGCTTAAAAGGAGACACTGGTCACATATATTCTAAGTACTTAAACTGTTACAGCAAATAAAACATTATTATTATTATTATTATTATTATATCGGAAGCAGAAACGGAAACAGATGTTAAAAATATTTTTTTGCAGGAAAGGAAACGGAAATACTACTTATTAAAAATTACAAATAAAACCTTTAATTAACATTCAAAATTAAGTAGCGGCATGTTATATTTTATGAAAAGTAGTTCGGCTACTTTTACACCTAACAATCTGTTCCAGTGTCCTTCATATACAAGTCCAGCTCCGCTAAATAATTGCTCACTGGCGATGCTGCGTATACATCAAAGCTAAATTGGAACTGACATATGGGCAGACCCTTTAAACAGTCGCATTTACGTTAAGCGAGTAGGTAACTTAGTACAACCGTAGCACGAAATTACGACGTAAACGAACTTTGAATCCAAAATACTCATTAGTGTCTTTAAAATAATTAATATAAACTACAAGTAAAAAATAAATAATATAAACTTCACGTAAAAAATAATTAATATAAACTATACGTTAACATAACTGCTGCCTAATTAATTTTACAAATCTTCGTTGTAACAAAGGCATTTAGTAAAAACTAGTTTTTACTGGAAAAAACACGTTTTAACTAAAACGGAGTTTAACTATAACATGGGAATCACCTAGTCGAGCAAAAAAGCGGCACGGCCGTACTATACTTTTCTCGAAGAAATTCAGGCAATTTTTGACCCCCTATAACTTTGTAGTGGATTAAACTAGAATCCTAATCTTCCATCCAATCCTTTTCTGTAGCCTAGTAGGAATTGTATAAACATGGTATATTTCAAATTTCACTCAATTTGAACCAGTAATTTAAGAATTATAACTAATCAAAGTTTCTTAATTTTGTCACTCACTGACTGGCCGATCATCAAAACTCTAAGGCACTTCTAGCAGACATAGAAGCTTCAAATTTAAAATACAATTAGTGTTTAGTGTATAAATTAAGGGAAAACTAAAATATTTTTTATTTCGGTCCAGTTTTCTAGATACACCAACTGCATAAATAACTTTGTAATACCATATAAATATATAGATTTACAAAGTTACATTAGCAGTGAATTAATCAGTGTACTTGTATATGTATAATAGGTGTAAATAGGTACGTTGTTGGTATTCAAAAAGTAGAAGGTACCGGAAACGAAAAAAGTAAGATTATCTTATCTACAAAAAGAAATGAGATGCCGATACACAATGTATCTCACAAGTAATACATATTATATTAAATTAGATTGCTTAGTGCGATTGCCAAGTCAATCTATATATTTAAAACATAAAAGATTTTTAATATTGATGTGTAGTCACTAGAAAATGTTGTTAGGTTAGCTAATTACGTAATAACTTAAAACAGAAGAACCCTTAAGTAGGGACTGAATAAATTAACCAACTTGGATTATTACATGGATCTTATAACTTTTTACGTTAGAAGTGAGTTGCGAGACTTGTTTTTTTTTTACAAGATATGTTTTTGATGGCATACATTTTACTATATACAATAGGTATGCAATTGACCAATTTAAAAACCTTGACTGACCATTTGTTTTTTAGTTTGCGATGAAAGTTTTACAGTTTCAACTAACTTTTCAAACTGGAAACTCTTCGGTGTGTATCGCTTTAAGATGGCTCTTTAAAGCGGTAGTTGTGCGTTCTTTTCGCGAGTATATTTTGTTACATAATTTACATTTGGCTGCTAAATCATCAATCTAAACATAATAGTTCCAAACAGGACTCTTTTTTGGCTTCATGATTGCACTTAAATTACACACACGACTCAAATTACTAATTAACTAAAAAATCTATAACAGAAAATCTTACGCGCTTACACTCATGTCACGCCGTATAATAGTAAAGTTAAAACAGTATCTAAACAAACCCGTTGGTACCAGTGCCGAAAGCACGTGCCCAGCTCACTTGTGATTGGCAGAAATGATCCCCCCCTCCTCCGCCCCTCCTCTACTAATGTGGCTGCTGTGTCACTGAGTTCTTGCATATGTTATAAAACTTGCGGAAACGGAAGCAGAAACGGATGTCAAAAACCATGCAGAACTTCCGCAGTTGCGGAAACAGAAACGAAGTTCTGTTGCATCACTAATAACAGCGCCAATAAAGAAACTCGCTGATTTAGTTACCACACATACTTTTCTTATTTGAGTCGAAGCCAATATTATCGAAAGTCTTTCCGTTTGTCACTTCATATTACAATGAAGTTGAATGACAGGTGATGGAGCTTTTAATTAGCGTATTGGTAGCCATCGGCGACTCGTAAGCGTGCATGATGGATATGAGACACGGTAGGAACTGCGATGAGTTGAAAGTATTTAATAGTGATTTACCCACAAGTCGTTGTTGCTTACATACTTTCTAGCTTTTAGTTAATGAGGGCTTATAATCTTCCGCGCAATTGAAACTGAGGTGAAATTTTTTGTTAAACAATGTAATTTAATTGAGAAGTTAGTTTTAAATGAAAGTTTATCAGTTTATAGAGTATTATAATATTTGTTTAGTTATTAAATAAATATCCTAATTATTTTAGATTTCACTTATATCAATTCATTGTAAACAGATAGCTTTATAGTTTCCAATAGCATGTAACACGGTATACAATACAACTACATATCTTAGTTATAAAAAAAAACTCTCCATAGATGGCGCTATCGCTTTGTGAATCGCGCAAATATTTGGTTTGTCCGGACCCATAAAGTAAAAATGATATCGAAATAAATTGTTTTCTTCGTCAACTGAATGTTGGTGTGTTATTGAATCCAATGTTTACAAAACACTGTTTTAGTAGCCCGCACAAAATTTCTACTTTACCATGTAGTGATAGTATAAACTTTAAAAATATTCACATACTCCTTCTGTAGGTGTCGTAAGAGCCAAACAGAAGGAAACAAAGCAGGAGAGGGGCCGCAGCCTCGTCCAATAACAATCTAATGACGCGATTGTCCGCCTGCCAAGCGTGGCACCTGTGGCAAATTTCCATTAGCATTCTTTGGGGAGGCCTATGTGCAGAAGTGGATTTTGATAGGCTTGATTTGAATGAATGAAGGAACATGAATATTTCAAAGTAAGCACAAGCTACGTACACCAATCATATACTTGGAAGCACCTTTATCAAAGCTTCCTAGACAAAGGGTATGGCTGGATGTAGACGCATGGTGTGATCATCAACATATAAACGTGTCCTTCACGCCCCAATCTCCCGTTCCCTTATATAAAATTTAAAAAAAATTCACAGTCTACAGGGGTCCATCAGTTGATCACAGACAGATCATCCCTAAGAGGGTTTTGGCATAGAAATTGTGCAAAAGAAAAATTCGCCGCGCTGTCCCAATTCATGTTGATGGGCAGTATATAATCTTAAAAACTGTTTTAATTCTTGATTTGAAATATTTATTTACATGGTAGAGCTATGCTGCAGCTAACAGTAGTAGCACGAGTTGATCGGCTCGACTGGGGAAGGACCACGCCCGCACTGAATATACTTGTTCTATTTCACGATGAAGGTTTGACTTTGGTTGTAGTTAGCCGGGCACATACAAATGATGTTAGTGTACGTAGGCCACGGGAGCGCTCAGTCATTATCGCGAGTCGAACGAATCACAGTTACACACACAAACGCGCCTGTCGGTACACGTCACTACTACAATCAAGGCGAAACCTTCATCGTGAAACAGAATAACTATACCAGCTTAATGCTGCTGTGTTTTGTATCGTGAGAACCGGAGATCCTTTTTATTTGGAAACGATTGTGCTCGTTAGCAACCCTATTTCTATAAAAAAAGAAAGGTTTGTAGCGAAACAAGGGAAGAAAAAATAAAATAATAATTCTATAAAAGCACAAAAAATTCTATATTGTAATTCTTAAAAATTATACTAATATTTTAGCACGTCGCTATTGTTTGACGTTCAAAAAATTGCTAAGTATGTTTCCATATCTTAATTCTCTTAAATTTCTATTTAACTTTTTTTAGCTCAATTTAAACTGAAGTCTCTGCCCCGGTTGTCCACAGACTTGTGGTATGACAGCAACCAATTGAGCACTTTGTAGACTGCTTGAGGATCTTCACAGCGGATCTTGTAGCAGAGCTTCGGATGATGGTATGGAGACGTGCTGCTGTCGATGAAGAACAACAGGTTTGGGTAACTAATTATGGCATTCAGAATCAAAACTTATGACTTATTGTAGTCATCTGCCCGTAAAATAGAATAGAATAGAAACAATTTTATTGATTAAAGAAGAAAATTACATTACAATTATTGTAAGGCATAGCTTTACCACTGGTTCCGAAAAACATCTACCCTGAAAAGAACCAGCAAGAAACCTAGCGGGACTTTTTGGGACGGAATTGAAAAAAGCTCTGACGCTGTGCTCAGGCACTGAGATCAGCATCTCTTACCATTGACGCCGATGCTCGTGGGTGGTCTGAGTAGTTTACGCCTGACATCGATAGTTCTATCGCCATCTTATGAAAGCCATAAGATTTTTGTGGTATTTCCCAAAGTCCCTGCCTTGTCCAGCCGGACTGTTTCCATACATCTGCCTGCTGAATCGTATTTTCCGTTTACATCTTTGTTTTCTTCTAGAACATGAGTGAAGAACTAGCACAAATTCCACCTAATACTGTAGCCCATAGACATCTTTAACAGATTTTCTGAACCAGTGTTAAAGCTTAAACGACTTGTAATCTATTCTTTATTGAATAAAAATGATTCTATTCTATTCCTGCTAAGTGTGAAGATTAAGTTAAGTCCTGCTTACAATGGGAGCGGCCCATGCCCTAACAGTGGACATTAATAACTGTAGAAAAAGAAGAAGAAAGGACAAAGGTACGTTGGGAACATTTGAGCGGCGTTACTTGGTGGACAGAGCAGATGTGTATCTCTGCTGCTAAAAATGTGAGAGTATTGGTAACAGACTGTGAGGTAATTTTTCTTAGTCTTTAGAAATACCGGCCACGAGCCTGTTATATATATCCTGTATATCATCCTCTATATCACCCTGTATATCAACTCTGTATATCATAGTGATGCTAAGTCAAGTAATGGTTAAGAAATTAGTTATATTTAAAGTTTATTTTGCAAACTTACTGATAATTCCTCTCCGAGTGTATCTCGCAGAGCAGTCTCCGTTTACACGCCTCGCTCACTGACGGGATCACGGCAGAGTCGCCCAAATGGCGCGACAGACGTTTAAAGTGCCTTGGATAGAATTTTTAGTTAAGTATTAATTATATAATTATAATTATTGATAAAAGAAAGAATGGTTCTCGAATGGCAGCCTCTTGACAGGTATATAATCAAAGGGCAGCCTCGTGTCGGTAGGCAGTGTAGGGCGGCCCGCTACAGATGGAGTGACGACCTAGTAAAACATGTAGGAAGTCGGCTCAGCACCGTTCTTTATGATATTCCTTGGGAAAGGCTTATGTTCATCAGTAATATATGTCAATGTAAGGACATATATTATGTATATTATGTATATTAATATATAATGTGAATAAATTTTAGTTTCTTTTTTTTTAAATTGCTATACCTACCACAAACTCGCACCACTCCATAGGTTGACTGGTAGAGAATGCCTTTCGGCATTAAGTTAGTCCTTTGTATCCTTTTTTTCTAAGGGAAATTTTAAAATAAAAAATACCCTTCAAAGCAAGCAGTGCAGGCACTGCTATTTGCGGCAAAAGTGCGGTATATATATATATATATATATATATATATATATATATATATATATATATAATAATATAAAAAACTGTGCCCTAAATGTTGACTAATTTGGGTTTCATAAAGCCCATTACTCATATTGTACCCCTAAAAATCCCTAAGTAGGAAACCTGTCTGGTTGTCCAATAGTCAGGGAGAGGGATGAATTGAGTCGTGTAATAGCTGTGCACATTTTTTAAATGTAACCTGTATCTATAATATCAAGAGGCGAACTACTTTGTTCTAGATCTAGTCCTCGTCAATGAAATAAAGAGAAATACGAAATAATTTGATAACCTCGGTCGATTCTTACCGTCAGGTAAGTCGAATGCTTCTATAAATCAGTTTTCTTTTCTCTATAATATCTTTGAACTACAAACACTAATACTATCTAATATATGTTCATATGTAAATAAATATGTAAATGTTACATAACTGGAATTAGAATCGCCATAAAATTGGTATCTCTCGGCGTTATATAAGTACTAGTATATAACAGAGATACGTGCTGCGGTAAGCGCGCTCAACCATAAGAAACCGCTTTTTACGTCTACATAAGTTACCATGTCCTGTGATATTTTGTGACTGTTTAAAGTGCGTTAGTTGGCCATTTATCTATACGAACGTATGATTACTTCTTACTTTTGTATATATCTATGCTTGTTCGCTATCGGTAGTTAATGTAAACTTTGATTCCGCTAACGTAGTTTAGGTAAACAGATTGTCGACAGTATAGTTTGTTCTTAATTTCGTGCAACCGGTTTTTTTTTATAGGAGAGGGGGCAAATGAGCATGCGGCTTGTGTATTTTATTACCATACGGATAAAGCACGTTCTTTTCTTTTAAAATTGTTAACTTTATTTAACTAAATTAAAAACTTCTTATGTCATTGTTATAGCGCATGATCTGTTTACTATTGAATAGTCACTACTCTAAGCTTTGGAAACTGAAGGGAAGAAGACGTCATTGTGTAAGTTAACTGTTACTAAGCCATATAAATAAATTAAAATAAAATAAAGTAAACAGTGCACGCCGTGTAATGGCCGTCAGAACATCACTTCCGAGGTAATGACATGAGGCGACAGACGGAAACCGAAACAGGAGATGGGTTGCAGCATCTTCTTAATCAGAACTTAAAATACAAGGGCCAACGAAAAAGGCAAACAAGAAATGGGGCAAGGAGAAGAAAAAACGCCTCGCCCGCTGCCAAAAAATTTGCAAGACGCCACCTTCTGTAAGAACGTACATGTTAATAATAGAAAATATACGACAAATCATGTTCCAACCGCGAGCGATAGTTGCATAGATAATTACACTATACATCTAGCGGCTAGTCGCTCACAGACTACCGCTACCCAGCGGGCAGTGAATACGCCTAGATTGAAAACATTTTCTTTACAAAATCAAATTTTGGTCTTTTGAAAAAATTTAATTGAACAAAATGTTCATTAATAAATTGCTTATCCATTAGTGTCAATCGCAAAATAAAATAATGCTTACTTTACGAGGAAACGCATTATATGAATAATTATTTTACATTTCTGTGGTGTCGCTGTAGGGAGATTAACCAAATATTTACTCCTTTTAAAAATGGAATTGACTATTATGGAATCCAGATTATGTAGAAAGTTATTGTATTTTTTATTAGTTGATATATCTTCTTAATAACAAGTAGGTAGCTCCTAAAAACCGTACAAGTAACGATTAGCGCAGCATTTTGCTCAAACATGCGCCTAATAGGCTCTAACGGTAACGGTATTTTTTTGGAAGTGTATGCGTGATGCGTGTACAATATCTTTTACTGCTTTTTACTAAGTAACTCTATAACTTTCACACCAGACACCAGGTAAGATAGCACGCATTTTAGCCACGCTCATCGACGAGTTCAAGACATCGACTAGCGTAGCCCTAAGTTGAGGAAACCTCTCTGTTACTTACAGGACTTTGGAGTACTGAGATTTCTTACAATTATTATTACTTAAATGTGCCGGCACAACCGGGATAAGATCACACTCGTAAAGAATTCCATAGTAAATACTGCTGTATTTCGTATGGTGAGTGACTAGAACAGGCGAACTTCTTTAATAGAACGAGGCAATCCATCTAAGTCCTCACGGGTGACAACTTATCCACAATTTGATTCTTATTCAAGGAGAGATGTAGGTGTCTATGGGGCGCAGTATCCAATTACCAACAGGTGGACTGTGTGCTCATTTCGTCTCCTTCTATAAAAAGCAGTTGCCTTTATTAAATAATCATTAGCCATGTTGTTTAATCTATTATTATGTATATATATTAATAATTGCGGGTGTGTGTGTATGCAATTGTTTGTGATCCATTTACAAAATAACGAAAAAAAAAACAATATTGTAAATTATAAAATATAATCACGCATCGATTGACACAGGTTGCTATAATTGTATTTTGACACATTCGTTGGAAGAGACTACATAGCCGTAGGTTTGTGAATACTATAAGGATGATAAAACATAATCAGGCAAATCCATTCTGCAAGAGAAGTATGGCCCGTCAATCAGAAAACACAATCACGACGCTGTTGTTGTTTGGTAACTTAACCACAGGACCCTAGGGTTGTAAGGGCTTAGGTTGCATGATGTATCAGACAGAACTTATTGGAGTAGTCAGATCGTATCAATTAAGTAATTGTTAATTAGAAATAAAATAATTTTTAAATAGTTTTTTAAAAATCATTTTACGTTCCCGTAATCTTGACTATCTTAATAATATTTATTTTAGTTATTTTCAAGTTTACGGATTGTCCTAAAGAGACGCAATGTGTGCGCTCCGTACGCGTACCGTGCTAATCCCTCGTCGAACTCTCCTCGCCTGACAAATCCGACTAATTAATCACGCATTACTTTATCATAATCGTTCGTTAGTTCCGTTTTATTTTAGGAAGTTTGTACGGAGCGAGCACTTCCGAGCACTTTACCAACGCAATTGTATTTATTAATAACTTTGTAACTCGTAGTAACTCGTAACAAGAGGATGTAGCGGCGCTGTCGTCGCGCCACGGCCACAAGGACTCCCACACACACACACACACACTCCGAATTGTCAGTAGAGTCACATAGCTGCTGAAAACCTGAGACTTATTTGATGTGAGCTTCGAAAGAAGCGCTTTGTACCAAACCCGTTGCGTTTTTATATTTGTTTGTTTAAAATGCGTGTATCAAATGAATAGCTCTTTTATTTTAATTGGCACCGAACAGCACGGACACCAATTAAAAAATTTTTACGAACTGGTAAGTAGAAGAAGAATAGATAACGGGGAGAACTAAGCTTTAGGCTGTTTTACTGCGTGCTAGATTCCAGAACGTTCAATTCGCAGAAGACATAACATTTTTCATGGTACATCCACGATGCAGCTATATTATAGCAGCAAGAATGGGTCGGGTAAGACGTTGGCATGACCACCCTCTCGCAAAATATCAACGTGAAACAGTAGAATAGTGCTTTGTTTCGTATGGTGGGTTTAGAGAACCAGAAACTCTTTTTACTGGTAACTAGGCATTCCATCTTAGTCCTCAGGGATGACAATGCAGCTGCATTTTGTTTATTGAAGAAAAAGAGGAAAATTAAAGAAAAAAAAGACCCCCCGAAAAAAAAAAAAAGAAAAATGAAGATGTCTATGGGCTACAGCTCAGACCAAAAAAAGGCAGATGGAGAATGCGGAAAAAACAGACGCATCGAAATTCTAATTCCCAATCGAGGATAAATGTAGATGACTATGGGCCGTAGCATCTGTTTACAAACTGTGTGCTCGTTTGGCATCATTATTTTATAATAAAAAACTCACTGTGAGTCTGGTCCAATATTCTCTACGGTGATGACACTGGGTGCGAGTGCAGACACAATGAGCCCCACCGGCAGTAGTGCCGTCAACAGATGAAGCAGGCTCTTCCAGGGGTTCGACCTACAAAAAGTATCGTTTTCAAATATTTAATTTTGAGATATATGTCACATAGATGGAAAAAAGACAGTAATATAAAATCAATATCTTCTTGTCTTCTCCTTTCTTATATATAAAGATCAATTGGTGTCCGAAATTCGAAAACAGCTCAAACAAATTTGATGAATTTTGTTGTATGTATTTGTGTGTGTCCCTGAATGGTTTAAAAACTCAATTGGACCCGGTAGATGGCGCTGTTGTAGAGATCCAGAAACCACCCGTGCGAAGCCGGGGCGAATCGCTGATAGTTTATATAGCAGTTTCGCCTGCTATATATTTTAACTATAGTATTTGAACTCCCTAATGTAGTAGTATTTCTTCACCTGAATTATCTCAGTTTGTATCGGATTGTTTTCTCATCGCAGTATGAGAGTGAGGTTTTTTAAAAAAAAAATCTAAAGCCTCTTGCACAAAAGGCGATAAATGAGCACACGGGTGGACCTGATGTTGATTATATCCTGCTCCCATAAAAACATCTATACTGAATGAAGAATTAAAATGCATATGCGTTATTATCCCTGTTAGCAACTCACAACAATTTATAAAAAAATATATAGGATAAAGACAAGCCAGCGCACAGCCCACCTGATGGTAAGTGATTGCTGTGGCCCGTAGACATCTACATCTATATCCGTTTGCAAAGCAAAATGCAGATGCAGCCGCGAGGTCTAACGTGGAATGCCTCTTTTCCAGTAAAAACGGTCTCCAGTTCTCTACACTCACCATACGAAACACAGCAGCATTGAACTGCTATTTTGCGCTGGAATTCTGTGAGAGCGTGGTCCTTCCCTGGTCGGGCCAATCCATTCGTGCTACAATTATACAATTAATATAGCTGCAGCATGTCTGCCACGTATACAATATTATTAATCGTTTCATGTCAGTGCCAGTCGACATGAATGTGAAAATAATGAATGAAAGTTAGTACCAGCCTGTAGTTACCCGCTCAGTGAGTAATGCCTCCAGGCAGATCCTTTCACCGGGTGGTCAAACGTATTTATTGGCTTGACATTTTAGTCACTTGTGAACAACTACCTCGTTGGTCTAATGACGCGGTTGTTGATGGCGAGGTCCTGGGTTCGAATCTCGGAGCGCAAAGCTGCTCTTGGTTTGTTTTGCTTCTGATTTGTTTCCCACTGTCAACTTTTACGACAGCCGTGGTTCATTTTTTTCCTTATTTAGTTTAACTGCAATGAGTCTAAATAGAACTTGCTTTTCTATCTAGGATTCCGTTATATGTATTTAAAGTTACTCACAAGGGTTCCGCATAAACTTAATTATGTATAAGTATAGATAGTTCATACATCCCGGAAGTTATAGGTTGGATAAGCACCAAACATTGGTGTAAATTAATCTACATCTCGGCCAATTATTTCAGAGCGTGCTTCTACCCAGGTCGAGCCGACCCATTCGTGCTACAACTATAATATAACTGCAGCGTGACTTTACCATGTGGAAAATCATCAACACATATTGGAGCAGGGCGGCGATTAATAGTTCCTCAGAAATGAATGGAGGCTTGTGCTTTGGGTATCATCCCCGGGGTGTTGTTAAAGGTGACAGAGGTAAACTGAACTAAGAGATGGACAGCAGTATCTTCCTGGCGATAGATGAATAAAAATAAACTGCGGTTGCCAATCCGCTTGCCAAGCGTGGAAACTGTGCCAAATATCTCCTTTCTGAGGCAGTCTATGGTGGAGGCCTACGTTCAGCAGTGGACTTATGATAGGCTGGAATGGTAATGGTAACGACCCAGCGGTAAAACGTATATAGACTGTATCTTTACTTAAACTTTCTATGTTTTGTCATCATAATTATAACTTTATACAAAAAATAAAAATCGATTTCAATTTGGAATTTTTCTCCAAATTTTTGTTGGACCACCCCTGAAGACCACCCCTGACCAAGCCTATGTAATAAAAACCTATCTAATAAAAAGACTCTTCAAAACCATGCCTCAATTGGCGGATATATCGCGCAATATACATACAAAAAAAATTATATAAAAAATTCTTTGCTACATAACCCTTTTGGTGTTATAACAACTCAAAGTTATATTAAAAAAACGTAAATCACTTGTAAACACCGTTTTTCTAAATACCTCGGTATCTGATACCAATTTCAGAAACTCAGAATAACGCGCCTATACAATAACATACCTTTTTTTCAAAGGGAATTCTTTTGTATTATCATGGGATTCCAGGCTTAAGTCATCATTGTCCTCATACGATTTCGGTTTTTCTTTTAAAACATCCGGTCGCTCATACAGACTGCCAGCAGGTATTTTGACTGGCGCCTCCACGGTGGGCTTAGATTGTAACCCGCGGGTACTCCATTCGTTACTATTACGCTGTTTGTGGTCACTGTCTCCATATTTATAGGGAAAAGCTTGATATTCTTCCGGAAATTTGTAATAATTTGGCTTGGAATAATCGCCTGGGGATCTGTTAAAATATTAAAAATAATACATAAAAATACAGAAAAAACTTGATTTTATTAAATGGTTAAGGCGAGGTATTCCCGGCCTCCTATAGGCCTATATTTCTATAGGCTTTTAACATGCCCTTCTCCGTTGCTGCGAAAAGAAAGTTTTATGTTGGATTAAATGACCAACTGCTGATTGAAATGATCAGTGCATGATTTCCTACTCGATAAAAATAAACGAATTAATGAGCGTTAGGCGGTATTGCAAAAGTGGTGCTAACAAAAGTAATTTCCCAAGAGCATTTTATTAAAAGGTTAAAGTGATTCATAATAATTGTAGATTCGCAAAGTTATTAAATCATTTTAGGTAATTTAGCGTTTCTGTGAATACATAACCTGGGATGAATTAAATTCACAAGATGCCAGAGATTGATAGATATTCCATACGGGGATGATCCCTCGTCAAAACCGAGTGCTATCATCGTGGGGTTTCAGTCCGTAAGAGCCCGATATAACCTCTCGAAATCCTTTAGTTTCCACTCAAAAACTATAAACGATTTAATGAAGTCTTTTATTAGTAGAGGTAATATAAAAAAGACAGCCAAGTGTACATGAGAATTTTTCTACTAATATGTACTTACCCGATAAAAGATGAAACGGGCTTCCTAATTGGTGGAGTGAAAGAATATAAAGATGTATCTTCTATTGTATCATAGTAACTGCTTAAATGAGGACTGGGCTTAAATTCTTTACTCATACTCTTCTCAGGTTCATTTTCTTTGACATTTTTGGCATTCTCGTTCGCTTCATGAAGAACAGCTTTAACTTTATTCAAATCGGCTTCGTTTTTATCTTTAAGAAATGTAGAGTGATTGTGCTTAAATTCTTTTTTATCTTTCTCTCCTCTATTTCTGCAATCTTCGGTTTCTTTATTTATTGTATTTAGTATTTGCTCGTTGATGTATTCTTCATTCTCACTGCTTTCTTTTGGAAATGCAAAAGTTGTATTAATTTTCCAAGTTATGTTGTCTGTATTAGACTGTTTTCCAGTTAAATTGTTTTCTTCTGTCGTTTCCGCGGATGGTTTAGTTGTTATTTTGTCAACAGGATACAATGTTGTCGTGTTTACTTTGCCATTTGTAGAATAATCTTCTTCTTCACTTTCGGTGACTCTTATACATACTGTGTTCGATATTAAAAATATGGTCCATACAACAATCTGCAAAAAACGTCAATGTCCATAAGTAAATGACGTGGGTGTAATTATAGTTATAAAACTCTAATGTTAAGCATGGTATATATGCTAACGTTAAAACAATAGATATAATCTGTCGCCAAGACAGTGCGATTTACGATCTAGGGCTTCATCACCATTTACCACCAGGTGCACTTGTAGTGAAGCATTGACTTATAATAAGAAAATAAAACAATGAACCTAAAACATCGAACTATTTTCAATAGGGCTGCCCATAGAATACTATAATACATACATAATAAAACGGGGGAGTGGGCGGAGGCCGTGTAGCCACTAACATGTCACTAACACGCCAATTCACACGTATAAATGTCAACACAATCAATCGTTTCCAATTTTCGTATCAAGCGTCGCTGCAAGCAAATTATTTAAAAAATGGCAAATTGTGCAATAATTACGTGTTCGAAAGAATAACAGGAAATGGAATTTAAATAAAGGAGGCATATTATAGAACCAGTAAGTCGAAACTATTTATATTTTGTGAGTATTAGAAACAAAAATAAAGAAACATTTATGTGTCAAAAACATTAATCAAAAGTCTAAAATGTGTTTGTAATAGTGATAACTAATAATACGACGTAATTGCTTGTATGTGTGCTCCCGGCGAAGCCAATCCTCCTACAAAGTAAGGTTGACAGTTGTTCTATTGTGTATTATATATGATTTGTATTCTATGGGGCTGCCACTGGGGGCAACTTATTTTTATATCTCTAGAAATTTCAAATTAAACAAAATGAACAAGTTTTGAATATTAACTAATACTACATTACTTAGCACTTTAGCAGTTGCTAATAATCAACGATCTAACGATCGATCGAATTGTCAGGCTTATAAGAAGTAAAAAAGAGACATTCGATCTTCCAATATTCTTTAAATAAGTGCACTCGCGGAGCTACCTACAGTAAGTCATTCCTAAAACTATAAAACGTCACCGTTCTTACTGTTTTTATTTAAAAACTATTAACTTTTTTTGATCTATTTCTTTTCGTTTTGAACAAAACTAGTTTTTACTGATTTTATCCTCTATATTAACTTATTTTATTTTCCCGGCATTTTTGACGTAAGGAATCGACGCTCCGGAAAGTCTGCAGTCTGGGAACATGTACAGCATCGTCGCCGTCACTACATCAGATTTGATAAACCACAAAAGCTTGTTAAAGAACATTGATTCCTTAAAAGGATGATTGGCGACGCTATTGTAATAACAAAACATCTTAATTTCAATAGAGAAGATGACTGCTGCTACCATCTGCTTAGGATTTCTTAATTAATTAAAATTAAATGCCAATCTCATACAACTGCAAGACAAGGTATTATAAGTTTATACTGCGTACACTGGAACAAAAATTAATAATTTTAATCTGGAGGAGACAGTCCTCAGTCCCTCTCGTGACCATCGTGCTGTAGAGAGCTCGACACGACGGGAATATAAAAAAATATACGCGATAAAATCCGCATATAAATTTATTTTATATTTAAATGTGTAGTTTTCGCGTAAATATAAAAAATCATTATTTCATTTCCGTTAAAACATTCAGCTAATGTTTTATTTGCATTTTTTGTATAAATTAGGCATAAATATGCACAGGCCTGTAATTACTAATTATATTTTTTCTAGTGAATAGATTATATAATGTAGACGGAACGGCGCACAACACAAACCTGCGTGGTTGTGCGCTGTGCCGCGTAGCTAATTTTTATAAATTTTTATTTGATAATAAATTAAAAAAAAGATAGCAGGAAACTTAAAAAGTGCAACAGATATTGTTGAAAATTTTCAAACATTTTCGGAATATTTCTTTTTTTTTTCTTATACATGCTGAATAGTTGTTGAGAAACTGTCTCGTTCAATATAGTGATGAGTACGTTGCAAATCATCTTATTAAACTGCAATAAACATTAAACATTCTAAGTAGTACTAGCAACAACTGGAACTGGGGTTGCACACATGCTAGGAAATGCTCCCGACTCCTGAGCTCTTGACGGCTGCACATACATTATACCATTAAAATATGAAGTAATATTAAAAATCTTATTCGTGGTGGAGCCAGACCGCAGCTATATTTTTTGTAGCACCAATGGTTTCGCTCACCCGAGGAAGGACCACTCTCTCAAGGAATACCATCGTAAAATAGCAGCTCAACGCACCTGTGATTTGTATGGTGAGTATATAGCTCCGATGATCCTTTTTACTGAAAACGAGGCATGCCATCTTAGTCCTCAGGGACACACAACTGCATTTTGATTCTTAATTGAAGATAGATCAAGATGGAATAGAACCAATTTTAAGTATCAATGTATATGACGACTCCGTGGCGCAGTGGCTTAGCAATGAGTGGCTGCGCTGGGGGTCGCGGGTTCGAATCCCGCACGGAACAAGTATTTGTATGGCCTACAAGTAGTTGTTCCGGGTCTGGATGTTCCTCCTTGTGCAATTTATGTTTGTAAACTGCCCCCACAATACAAGAGAAAATCTTAGTGTAGGGGTAACGTTTTTTTCAAATAAATAAAAAAATAGTATTCGTTAATATAAAAATTATTAGATAAAGATATATTTTTATTTTTTATTATAATGGATTTCCGCAAAGTAACGCCTGATTCTATCAATTATATTAGATAAAGATCTACGTGTCACAGCATCCACTCATCATCCAGTGGATGTTGCTAGTTTGTCACTATATATTTACTGTGGCGCTGGAAATAATCTTACAAAGTGCAAGTAAGTGTAAGTCGGTTGAGGGCAGCGGTTGGAGACAAGTGCCTTGCTCAGCTCATTACTAAAGTAGGCGATCTATATTACCTTCACTAAACACTGGTCGACTCGACTTGTTTCATTGGAATTCTTGTCTTCGTAATAAAAATTAGTTTTATTAATGGCTAGCGACGCGCCTTTTATTCGACGCGCCGGCGTTTAGGTTTTTTTTGAACATATCATCAATGAGCATTTATTTTAACATGTTAAAAATTAATTAGCTGAAATCCGCGCAGTAATATAAAATGATGTCTTTTTATGAAGAACATCTCCCGCCCTGCCTCAATTGCGTGTTCTATCCCCGTCACCACTAATCTCAATACCACTACACTAGGAAAAATACATCACCGTAGACTATACGCCATGTGTTTGGCTAACCAAGGCAACGGTTTCGCTATTCCGAAGATTATCCCGGACAAACAGCCAGACTGAGAGACAGAAAGATAGACACATTTTTGAAATGTTTAACTTCAAAAATTCTTTACGCACGCTTGGCTTGGTGAGTAAGCTGGCGAACGCGTAACGAAAGTGTTACGAAAATTATAATCGAGCGAGGAGTTGGTGGGGGATATAAACAAGAGAGAGCAATGCACCTATTTTCCTTCTCTCATTCTCTCATAGCCAGTTACGTTCCGTATATCTAAGCACAATTTCGTTTTCAACAATTTTATCAATTATTAATTTGTTCAATACATTAAATATTCTACGTTTAAAGTGTATAAAATTGGAAATTCATTTTAAAGTTCACGTTTTGTGAATTAGATAAGAGTGCCCTTAACCGACGAGCATGTATGCGTAGATATATGGATGTGAAGGAGGCGAGAGAGGTGTGTCAGGATCATGCCAAATGGAAGTCTGTAGTCTCTGCCTACCCCTCTGGGTGACAGGCGTGAGTGTGTGTGTATGATGATATGTAATACTGTGCAAATGTGTGTGTGTGTGTGTGTGTGTGTGTGTGTGTGTGTGTGAGGGACACAGAAAGGAGATGGGCAGCAGCATCTTCCTAATAACAACAATAACATAATAAAAAACTGCGGTTGCCAACCCGCTCGCCAAGCGTGGCAACTATGATAAATATCCCCCCATGAGCAACGACACAAATAAACGGCCCCCAGTCCCCGGCGGCCCCGCTATTCCTGGCTACGGTGGCGACCATGGTAACGGCGGGGCAGAGGGTGCTAAGAATCTCCGGTGGAGGTTCGGTTGCCACCTACGACGACTCGACCTGGCAACGTATAACGCACGCATCCTGAGGACTGACGAGAAGATACTGGAGCTGGAAGAAGAGGTAGACAAGTTGCGCTGGCATATTATTGGATTATCTGAGGTCCGAAGAGAGGGGGAGGACACGGTAATCCTCAAGTCCGGCAACTTGTTCTATCACCGGGAGGGCGACCATCTGTCCCAAGGAGGTGTCGGATTTATCGTCCACAAGTCTCTCGTCAACAACGTTGCAAAGATTGGGAGTGTGTCGACGAGGGTCGCGTACATGATACTCAGAATCACCAAACGGTATTCGCTGAAGGTCATACAAGTCTATGCACCAACCTCGGCACATCCCGATGAGGAGGTGGAGGAAATGTATGAGGATATTTCTAGAGCCATGCATTCCTCCAAAACCCACTACACGGTGTTGATGGGAGCCTTCAACGCAAAACTAGGCACAAGAAGAGGCGGTGAGCAGAAGTTAGGGAAATTTGGAGTTGGGCAACGGAACCGTAGGGGCCAGCAGCTGGCTGACTTTATGGAGAAAGAGGGACTCTTTATGATGAACTCTTTCTTCAAGAAGCGGCCCCACAGGAAGTGGACCTGGTCGAGCCCCGACGGTTCAACAAAAAATGAGATTGACTTCTAATGAAGTCATTATGACGACCAAACACCAACTGTTCAGTGATGTCTCAGTGATCGCAAGGATGAAAACCGGCAGCGATCACCGAATGGTTAGAGGCACACTGAACCTAAACGTTAAGTTGGAGAGGTCTCGTCTAATGAAGTCAACGCTCCGTCCCCCTCGTGCTCTAATCCAGAATCCCGAGACTTTTCAGCTCGAGTTACGTAACCGCTTTCAGTGACTAGAAGATTGCAATGCAGTGGACGATATGAATGACAAGCTCGTGGAAACTGTCCATGCGGTCGGAGCTAAGTTCCGCAAGACCCACCGCAGAAGAACACAAAAACTCTCCGATCACACTCTTAATCTCATGGCTGTTAA